GAGTCCCTTTCGGGTGTCCCCAGACCGCGTTCGGGAGTGGCCTGTGCAATGTTGGGGTGGGGGAAGCACGATCTCGAGCTGGGGCGGCCCTGAGCCCCACGGGAGGTGCCGCAGGAGCGGGGTGTCGGGTGGGGGTGCTCGGACCCGCCAGCCAGGCTGCTGAGGTCACAGGCCTCGCTGGAAGGGAGCCGCTGTGGCCACGGGCCCTGAGTCCCTTTCGGGTGTCCCCGGACCGCGTTCAGGAGTGGCCTGTGCAATGTCGGGGTGGGGGAAGCACGTTGGGGTGCCCCGGGAGCACTGCGCTCACTGCACCCCGGTCCCAGACGCGCTCACCCCATGCAGGCTCCTGCCCTCCCCACCCCCGCCTCCCCTGCCCCCCTCGGCACCCGTGGTCTCTCACGGGCTGCTCTGCCGGGCTGGGGGGACGTCTCGTCTTCAGGCGGGCGGCCACCAAGGACCCTGAGCGCTGACTGCTGAGCCAGGCCCTGCCCGCGAGGCCCCGCTCGGCAGTCTCGCTCCATTCGGGGGCCCTGCTGTGAGCTGCACCCAGAGCCCCCACCCCCCGCCCCGTCCCCAGGTGAGGGCCACGGCCGGCGAGCTCTTCCAGAAGGTGTGCGAGGCGACTGGCATCCGAGAAGCCCACTTCTTTGGCCTCAGCGTGGTCAGGAGTAAGTAAGGCCCGGCCAGGCGACTCCGCCTTCGGGTCCCCCGGGCGCCCCGGAAGCACCCGCCCCTCTGCGGGCTGAGTCTGCAGGGGGCGCCCCTGCTCCGCCCCATGGTCCCCCCGCCGCGCCGTGACTTCCCCAGTCCGGGCTGTCTTGCACCCCGTTGTCACGCACCCGTCCCTCATCAGAACTCCGGGGCCGGGCAGCCAGCCTGCTGCCCCGGCTGGAACTCGGAGTTCACCTGCCCTCGGGTGTACGGGCAGCCAGGAGGCCCTGTCCGCGCCCGTCACCTGCCACCACAGGACGGAGCTGCCGAGCGTCTCCCACAGAGCGCGGCTTTTCCCACGTGCGAGAGTCCGACCCTGGGCTGGGACTCTAGGAGTGGCCTGCGCGCTCCAGCAGAGACTCTGTGACAGCATCTGCCACGAAGTCCTCGCCCGGCCCGCCGCATGGGACCGCGGCTCGACACTGGATTTCACGGTCCCTGAACCTGACCAGAACCGAATCTCACACTTTCATTCACGCTTTTTAAAAAGTTCGTGTGCGTGAGTTCAGGATCTCGAGCAGGACGGGCTCTCGGGCTGTGTGGATGGACACGGCCCCT